GACCCAGCGACCGGACTCGCGTTTGGAACTCTTCAGTGGCGTGGACCCACTACCCAGTGAAACGTCGGAGATGATATTGTTCCCGGAAAGGGACAATGCAGTGCCGGAAGCTAATCCTCCCGCAGATGAGCCCATCCCTGAAAGGTTGCCAGAACCGGCACGCGTAATTGACCCATTGTTGCCAGTAGATTGAAAGGCATGTCCTATCATGGCTGTCCCAGTGCCCTGGAAAAGAAAGTTTACGCGAAATAATTAGAAATAGGACTAAAATATGACACGAAAAAAAAATGATCACTTGCAAAATTTACCTCGAATGACTTGAAACGTTCTTCACTGCCAGCGATGAGCTCATCGACCTCGTAGGCCCGCAAAAGAGTTGCATTTATTGCAGTAATTGGCGTGGCAAGCCCTAAAAGACATTTTTTTGTGAAAATATAAATATAACATTATAGGGTCAAGTATCTGTGTGAAAGTATTTTACTTTGCAAAATAGAGTTACACCAGAGACCACCGTGGGAAACTCCGGGAAGCAAGTTTATGAGTCAAATCCCTAAGAGTAGTATCATTAAGGCACAGAAATTCAGAAAAATGTGTATCTGTGTTTCACTTAGTCCCGATATTTGGAGTATGGAAAAGCCGAACAGTTTGACGAGTGTAACGACATAATCTTCCATAAGTTATTAAGAAAATTTGATAATTCTACTTAGGATCTCAAGATACTGCCGGTCAAAATATAAAATGAAGTGAATACATAGCGATGCTAAAAGGAAAATTTACCCATGGCGATTAGTTTCTCACGTTCTTCTGGAGTTGCCAGGCTTTTCCATAGATTTGGGTACTTTTTCAAGAGTTCCCCTCGGAAAAGGCGCATATAGCGACCAACCTGTAAGTTAAGAAACGGTCAGACTTATCTAGACTTACGTGAAAAGGTCATAAAATTACATAACACTAAACTTGCGACAATAAACAGAACTGAAATGAGCAAATTCCTATGACCACTTTATACACGTGGCAAGTATTGACCCCTAGGTAAACTAGAATGCTATTCCTAGTATTTCGTAACCACACCGACTCGTCCTCGCGTGAATGATCTTCAGAGAAAATTGAAGTTTAATCTGCTGACTTAGTAACAACCGGCAATCCCATTTCCATTGGTTGTGATTGTCATGAATAATTATAATAGGTCTCATTCTTTCAAATTTGTCACTGCCAAAAACCAGAAATCTTGCGTCTGATTTTCTTCAAGTCATGTTAGGACAGTGAACCATAACGTATAACACGTGCAACTTTACCGTCTTGGGGCTTATTTTTGTTAGATGAAGCCAGTCGGATAATACACTAAAACCTAACTGACTGTGCAATACTGTCTGTTCTAGTTCATCGGGGTTTTCAGCAAATGGATTGATACAGTTATGGCTAGACAGACTGGCAGCACCAAGGTGGACAGCACAATGCATTTTGAGGTGTTGACAACAGGGAGAGGCCGCCTTACAATCAAGTTTTCAATGGCTCCGAATAGCCCTTGACATTCTTGCTACAGGAGGTGAACAGGCACCAAGCGTAAAATGACTTCAAGAAGGACTACTGCCTATGCAACTAAACACAAGACTTGCTACGTTCTTAATAGTAATATTCGATTCGTACAAATCCCATAACGACCTGCTTCATGGAGTGTTCGAAATTATGTAACGTATCCAAACCGCTGTCTGGATTAGTGTTTACAATAGCTTTTTCGTTCCGCGATGCAATCTCGATTTACGTCATACAAAATTTTTCGTGCGGGAAGCTGCCGTGTAACACATCCAAAAACAAGAATTATTGAGACACAAATACAGTGCCTACAAAGACTAGGGAGCCTGAAGTTGCCATTTCTGGCTTATTAGCCGTCACCAGCCAGGCATACTCAACCACAGTGGTGGTGACTCCAAGGTTCAAACGCTATCTGTTGAGTGACTGCTAGCTTAGCTCGAGAGCGAGCTGCAAGGCACAATGGGACGAGTGAGTAACGACATGTTCTGCTTTTCTTTGTTAGCTGTACCCAAACTGAATGTTGTTATACAACAGGCACATCCTACCCGTGGAAAAGGTATAGGCAGCTTTGCAAAGTCAACCCTGCTATTAAGGCTAGGTGCAGTCGACATCTCACTGGGTACACCTGTGGCAAGTTATTCGCAATTCCACTGTAGTGGAGTGCGCAGCGCTGACTTCGCATGAATTTGTGACGCCGATTGACGAACACTAACTACGATTTCCTAATACCATTGTGTGTCAGTTCTAGCAGAGTTAAGAGAGCTGGTAGGAGGAACACGCGCGATGGGCAACGAAAAATCAAACCACGTCCATCCGTATCATGTGCGTGATGGGTCTCAACTTCAAACAAAACGTTCCGCGTCAAGTAGTCACTACATCCTGGGACGTGGTCCTGAATAAAACCGATTTCTGTGCTAGTTGGCAACCACTCGAGCCTTGTATGAATCTGACGAATTCGTCAGATTCATAAGAAACATAATCCTATCTTAAATCCAACATATCAATGCCAAATCATACTTCCCTGATTGAAAAAAGCTAGCGCCGTCGCGCTATTCTGTCCCTGCGTTGCGCGCACACAC